GCTTTACCTAGTAGCCAGACTAGCAGCTCTACAAAGATTAAGTGGAAGGAAGGGAATATTCTTCAGTGACTGGCCTCCCCCATCCCCAGCCCCCTGTGTCACTTTCAGACCAGTGATACGGAGTTGCAGTCACGCCACGTGATAGCCAGAATAGGAGAGTTCGAATTCAAATACAGGCAGTTTGATAGAATAACTAAGAGAGGGCGTGTGTACACTGGGGGGTAGAAATCTTTGGAGCCCTCTTAGAATTCTGCCCACCACACCCAGAATAAGTATAATTATCCTCATTTCTTAAGGAAACTGTCTCAGTAACGTGACCAGGATTTCACACACTGTAACTAATCAGCAGGGAACCAGCATTTAAATCGCATCTGTCCCCACTGTGTCACACAGTGAATGGTAGACCGCCCGGGCAGAGAGCTGCATACGAGGAAGCCCACTGGCAAACTGAATAAGAGCCCAGGCCCTGGGGTCTCTTTTTCCAGTTCAAATCCAGTCTCCCTAAACACTATCACAGTATCTTGAGCAAGTTATTTATCCCTTCCGGGGCTCCGTGAGTCGTAGCCACTTCCTTCAGGGGATCATTGTGAAGATGAAGTAAATTCCTGCGCGTCTACACTGAGAGCAGCACCTGGCGCTTTGTAAACTCTCCCACACGTCAGCCCTCACCATCGCCTTTCTCGTTTCCTTTACACCATTGTTCTTTCCTCGGGGTGAACCCTTGAGCGGCCTGAAACAACTACGTTCGTAGCAGTACCATTGGCAAAGCCTTCCAACCTGTTGTGTTGGTTCCTTCTTCACAGCAATCCTGTAGAATCAATAAAGCAAGTATCTTCTCGCTTAAGGAGAGAATTGAGAAAGACATCAGTGCTCTGTCCGGCGTAACGCCCAGGTAGAATTAGTTAAAGTTAAAAGTAGAACCCAGGACCTGGACCTTGACTCCAGTCTGCCTTCTGGAGCTTCTGGAAATACAGGTGTGGGAGCTCCCTTCTGCTGGCCGAACCATCCACCGAGTACCTGTTACAGGAGGAAACGCCACTGTAGCTGAGTGACATTTGCCTCCAAGTTGCTTCTCCTTCATGGGGGTGACTTGGCGAAGTGTGGCTTTCCTGCCTACTAGCTGGTGACCTTAGGCAAGGTCACTAAATGAAATAATTCAGGTCAAGCTGTAAACATGGTGTCTATAGATAAGAAGAGCTTAGTCAAAGTCAGCCATGAAAATCATTGGGCCGAAGGTAGGCAGGAGGTGACACCGTCTTTACATAGAAGAAGATTTCATGTACCCTCTGCTACAAGCTTCACAGGAAGGCCTGGCCCCCTGTGGAGATGAGTGAACCAAATTATTATCAGGGGGAAGGGTATAACTCAATTGGTAGAGTGCAAGCCTAGCATGGCTGAGGTCCTGGGTTCAATCCCCAGTACCTCCATTAAAATAGATACATAAATAAACCTACAAATTATCATCAGCTTTGATAACATGTGTGTCCATTTTACCGCATTCACTACTTTCCAGAAATATGCATCATATTGTTAATTAGGTATATTTGTACATAGGTTTGGTGTACAGTTTTTTGGGTTTTTTTGGATTTTGGTTTGGTCTGATCTTTCAAAGCTCTAGTATAAACTACAAATTGGTGTTTGCAAGCAGCTTCATCTGAATTATTTATGTGTAGTAAATGAACTGTATTTCTTCTACATAAATTCCATTTATTCAATAAATGTAAGGTAACGTGACCAATTACAAGAATAAAATTGTTTAAAATCATCTCAGAAAACAATACGGGGTTTTTCAGTTGCATAGTGGTGATCTGGTTTTAAGAATTAGAATCAGGCATGAAAATGAGTTAGCTGATTAGCTGATAACTTTTAAAACATGAGACAAAAATTTTTTATATATATCTATGTTACTTTATCTACCAGCTTTCTTTTTTTAAGCTTTCTGCAAATTACCGTGGCTTGTTTTAGATTAGTTATATTATACTATAAATATGTCCAGATGTTTTTGTTATTCTGTAATTTGTTGAGTTTTAGCTGAAGACTTCCTTAGATTTTTTTCCCCTTGTAATGATTGATTTTAAAATTAGTGCTATGTTTTGAATTGTTGGGATTTTTTTTTCTGTTGATTAGAAAAGTACCAATAACGATTCTCTTAGATGTAGAAACATAGTAGCTCTTAGAAGAAGAGGCAATTATTTAATTTAATTTGTACTCATTTCTGTAAGGTAATAGCTAGAACATTGTCAATCATCCCTAACAAAACATAAATAAATTCATTAAGTAAATTATTTAAAGCAATTAAAGAGGTCTAACAGTTACATGTCAGTAAACGTCTGAATCGACTGCTTAATCCAATAACGCTGGGACTACCTGCTCCGTGTCAGGGCTGGGGAAACGTTCAGAGTCTGCCTTTGGGAGACAGATCATCCTGGAGAGGAAAGGAAAGGAAAGTGTGTTTCCTTACAACTAATATGTAACAGATTTTCCCTTTTGTACCTTCTGTTTTTCAGAGATCTCTCCTACAACTTGCTAGAAGATTTACCCAGTTTTTCAGTCTGCCAAAAGCTTCAGAAAATGTATGTCCATGAAAGCCTCTGAAGTCACCTCGCGAAAACTGGGAGCCCGAACCCACATGTCCAGGGGTCACCGGTTTGCTTACCCTGTGGTTCAGTGGGAGACACGCAGTGCTGTTCCGTTTTATACCCACAAGCTCTGACTGCGGAGGACGGCTGTGGGGCTGGGAAACGTAGATAATGTGACTTTATACTATACATAAAGCATTTATTATGGGTTTTCTTTTCCTAACCTGGTGTAGTCATGAACCGGGTTTGTTTGAGCTTTGGAGTTTTTCTAAGCTTCCACATCCAATGAGTGCTGTTATTTTTGAACAGGGGGAAGCTTGGGGGAAGCTTGAGTTCGTGGGTGTGTTTGCTTCGCGACAGTCACCTTCAGAGGAGGCGCCTTATTCGCCCTATTTCAGGAGCCATCGATGTTGCTCATGCCGGAAGCGTTGTAGCATTCCTCTCTCAAAACCCTCCTCCATAAAACATCAGCCTCATTGCTTGATAATCACGCTTTGGTTTTGATCAAAACAATATTAAGCATCTATCCTTGCAGGCTCAGTTTTTCTCTGAATGCCGAAAGCGATTAAGGGAGGGGGGAAAAAACCCATCTTTGAAAGGTAGAGACTTGACGCTCCTGAAAACCTTCAGGGAACATAAGAAAGGGTCGGTCAGATGGCAGAGCCAGGAGAGGCATCCTCAAAGTGTCTGAATGATGTTGGCGTTAGGAACATAGTTTTAAGATTCACCCAAAGGAGCTAGCTGCCTTGAACGGGAGGCTTTATTTATTTCTGTGTGTAAATTGTAATGTTCTTTTATAAACAAAAAGAAATGTTTCGAATGGTCACTTGATAGTCATAGTTCAAGCGTTCCTGGGGTTGAGGGCAGGTAACCCCTTTGTAAAAGTTCTCCGAAGACTCATCTTTGAAACCAGTGACTTTGCAATCAGCCTTTGGGACACTGTCGTTTCAGAGACCTACGACATAATGAAATCTGTGAAATCAAAGCCGACACCTTCCAGAAGCTGTTTAGCCTCCGGTCTCTGTGAGTACCACCTGCCAGTACCTTCACCAACACAGAGCGCTTTTTCTTCTCTTTGAGGTCTTCCTCTATTATTTTATTTTCGTGTATTGTTGGGCCCTTGCACATATATTTGCTATGGAAAGGCAAATATCTTGCTCATGATCATTTCCAGGAATAAGTTCAAAAGCAGTAAATTTGCCATCTGCTCTCTGCCAGTCAGCAGACATGGAACTTCCACAAAGAGGAAGGAGGCCGACATTGCTGACTAGCCTACAAAAGGGGCTTCTGTTCTCAGCCTGGAATTGGCAGAAATCGTGCTGCATATAAAAATGGGGTGGCCGCAGTCCTTCCCGCCTGCTTTTCTTTCCCGGTCAGTTTTTCAATGTGTGTCCCTAAGTGCTTTGGCATCACACTGGAGGGGACTAAAAAGTGCCGGGCCCAGGTTCTCACCTACCTTGTTAGTCTCTGGAGTGGGGCCTGAGAAGCCACATTTTAACACGTAAACTAAGGTTGGAGCCCAATTGTCCTGGAAAATGCTTCTGTTGTTCAGATGACTAAGACTGGTAAATATTAAATTCCACTTTATGGTTGAAAAATACCATAAATTTAAAAAAAAATGGGTAACAAATTTTTCTTGGTGACAGTTAAAACTTTTCCATCCTGAAACTGGACTGCAATGTAATTTTGGTGAATAGCAGTATGTAGTGCTAAAACTGCAGTATAGTGTTAAAAAAGCCTTTCTTTCCTGAAGTTTTTCCTTAATATTTAAGAGACTATAACCTCGGAAAATAATACCATTTCCCAAAACATTTTAAATTCACCTTTGAGAATCGCTTTCTCCCAGAAATTTACTTTGAAAACCATCATGATCTGAATTCAATTGTGTTGCTCTTTCCTTACTTTTGGTCTAAAATCAGCTTATGAAGTTCTTTCACTTTTTAAAATAAATGTAAAAAACATTTTTTTAAAACAAAATTTTAAAACAAAAAAAAATTTTTGTTTTGTAAAAAACAAAAAAAATACATTACCTAATTTTATTGCCTGCCTTATTCACCAGGTTGCCATTCTGGCTGTTTCCAAAAGTTAGTTCTTTTTTAAAACGTTGATATATTTGGTAACACTGCCTTGTGTCATTGAAATTTGCTTGGAGAGTAGGATTTAAATATTCTTCACCAGAGACCCGTGGGATCACTCACCTGGATCACCATCACCAGCCTCCTAACCAGCCTTTCCAGCATCAGTCTCTACCTATTTATCTCATTCTCCAAAGAGAATCTTTCTGAAGTAGCAATTGAATCATGTTACTTCCCTGCTTCAAAAATCTTCTGTTATTCCCCTATTGTCTTCAAGACCAAAACCAAACAAACTCCCAGTACTGCCCTTCAAAATCTTATCCCATCTGGAACACCCTTATCTCTCTCCCACCAGTTCCCAGTCCCGACATACGCGCCATGGTTTCTTCTGGTCCTGTCACCCACTGGGCTCCTTCCCACTCTTAACTTGCCCTGGTCCACCCCATAGGAATGAAATCTCCTGTATTTCAGCCCACTCAACTCTGATGTGCTTTGCACTTTCTCTGCGAGAGGACTCACCACTCAGCACTGCCGTCGGGTAGACCACCGCCTACCTGAAAATGACAAGAACTTTTTCATCTCCTAATCCCCAGGGTCTAGTGCAGTGGCTCTCTCATTATTTACCTTAAGAATTACAAGCACGTTCTGTGCAAAAGATCAGGGACTCTGAAGTCAACCTGCGTGGGTTTGAATCTCAGCTCCTGAGATCACTCTGTGACTTGCAGCAAGTCACTTAACACTCTGTGCTTCGTTCCTCACCAATAAAGTGGGACTATGCTAATTCCTACTTCTTAGGGTTGTGTTGAGGGTTATGGAAAAACGTGTTAAAAAAAAAAACTCATAACCATACCTGGCACGTAGTAAATATGCAATTGTCTCATTATTGAAGTTGTTGTTATCATCATTTGAACAAGTACATATCCTTCCAGGGTATGTAAGTGAGGGTTCTCACAGAAATCAGAATTCACCCCAGATGGTTTAAATGAAGGGACACCGACACAGGTGTTGGCAAGCAAGGGATGGGCATGCAGAAACCAGCAGCTGATCAAGACAGGGAGGAACGAGTGGTGTTTCCACATCCCAGGAAGAGCAGAGGCACAGAGAAGGGACGTCCGTAGGGGAGAAAGTGGGCAGATGCCACCAGAAACAAGATTCCAAAACGGAGGAGCAGACCACAAGCGCCCAGCCTCTCTCTCTCTGCAGGAGGGCTTCCATGGGGAATCCAGCAGAGAACCACAGGGCGCCCTGCAGGGTGAGCCCCACGCACCCACACCTGCACCCGCAGGACATAGGAACTGGCTCCCCCAGGGCAGCTGGGAGGATTCCAGCACACAGGTTCACAAATAAGAATGCAGTTACAGCCCTCTGAGCATATACATTCTCCCACACTTACTTATTTTTAATTTTTAACTTTTTAATTTTATTTGGTGGGAGGGGGCGGGGGTAATTAGGTTTTTTTTTTTTAGAGGAGGTACGGAGGATTGAATCCAGGACCTTGTGCATACTAAGCATGCGCTCTACCACTTGAACTACACCCTACCCTCTCCCATATTTACTTAAAACCCAGTCAAATCGCTATAGAGCCCGAGGTCAGAACATGGCCTGCCTTCCTGATGTTCTGCTCCATCAAGCTCACCAGGGCACCCGTGTTCTACTTAGAGCGCCAGAGATACTGCCAGATGGCAGGGCTCGCCTCGCTCACTGGACGCAGGGTTGATCAGCAGCTCAACAGAAGACAGTCTCCTAGTCAATTACCCATTCGTAGCTTTCCCACTCGTCCGTGCCTCTCCGTCCCCTTGTTAGCTGGATTTTGTTTTGCGATTACTGAAAGGGGCAACATAAAAAGCCTTCCAGTTTCCTCCAGTTTAAAGGGCCTTTCCAGTGAGGATATAAATATTCTGTGAATACTATTTATCCAAGGTAACTCAGGGGGCCCAATATCATGGATGAATTATCTGCGCTAGAGAAAAGTTGACGGTGATCACTTTCAGTTTCCTCAAATGTCTACACTTTAGTTCCCTTTATGAGTTAGGCGTTTTAAAAAGACAAATTGTAAGTTCATTGCTCTTTTTGTAAAATGGGGAAGTTCTTATATTCCTGTGCAATTATCTACATTTCATTACATATAGGTCTGGGGAGGGGAGGGGGTAAGGGAATTTTATTTCTCGGTGAATTGTAGATTTTCTTTGGGATCAAAAGATTTTATTTCCAACATACGCTAGCCCATCTTTTCTCCATTTCCCAGTCAAGAATTTAAATGTCTGTCCTCTTTACTGTGAATTTTTTTGAAAGTGTCTCTGTGTTTCTCTTAAGGTCTAACATACATGGACAATATACACAAATTTTTTGAGTTTCATTACATATCCAGGGATATGTTATAACTTAACATTTACTTGCTTGTCAGAGGAAGAGCCTCAGAAGTTCCTGTCTCTTCCCACTCCCCGACCCCCACTCACCTTAGAAATGCCCTAATAAAATGTTACAACCATGCTAAAGTCAACTTTTTAGCAAGAAGAGAGTAAAAATTAAATATCCACCCCAGTGATTTTTCTTGATTGATTTAAACAAGGTCGTTTTGAAATTCTCTATCTTAATCATTTTATACTATTCATATCTGCATCTGAAAGATGATTTGATAAGTTAATTGTTCCTGTCCAGAATGGAAATTAAGTTTTGTTGGGTAAAACTTCACACAGTCTTCTTTTACATCATCCTCTCACTTGCTTTTTTCTCTTTTTATAGGAATTTAGCTTGGAACAAAATTGCCATTATTCACCCCAGTGCATTTTCCACTTTGCCATCTCTAAGAAAGCTGTGAGTATTTCGCAACTTGTTTGTGGCGTGGCTGTCAGTAATTGGGCACCACCTTACTCATCAAAAATGCTGGTTTTGCTAAAGAGGCCCCCAGAGCACAGAATGCTCAGCCCTCAGCGTCCTCCACACTAGAGCTGGATCAAACCAGAGGTCATGTGGGCCCTTGCATGGATAACTGAAGAGCCAGGTGACAGCTGGTTCTGGTTACTGAGGTGAAATTTTCCATTTTCGCTGAGCTGTCAGGTGGAACGGAATAAGATGTCAGTACAGTTCTAAAGCGCTTTCATTTGATAGTTCGCCATCTTGACTAATAGGGAAGCTTCCCATCCATTCTTTCCCTCCCTTTCCACCTCTTGCTCCATCCTGTCCCCATCTCCCAGGTATCAGAAAGAAAGAACAGGTCAGACAGAAGTTAAGGGGAGAAGGAAGGAACTAAACCCCCAACAGTGTTTTCCCCTCACCCCTAACTGGATCCAGTCAGCATCTCTTCTCAAATTAGATGCCACACCTCACACTGGACTTTAGATGTCCCCACCTGGCAAAGCTGAGCTGAACATAGAAATTAGACTTTAGCTGTGATTAAAACATTTTTCGTCCTGCAATTCTGACTGTAAAGTAGAAAAGTTGTCAAGAACTAAAATGGTTCCTCTTACCATTAAGAGTAAGGACCCTACTTAGAAGTTTTTATGGAGCCGTTTAATAACTTTAGGCTGCTTTTTTTTTAACATCAGCATCTTATGCTAACGCAGACTAAAAGCCAGTTGCTGTTTGATGTTTTGCAGGGACCTGTCGTCCAACCGCCTGTCGTCTTTCCCTGTAACTGGGTTACATGGTTTAACTCACTTAAAATTAACAGGAAATCATGCCTTACAGAGCTTGATATCATCTGAAAACTTTCCAGAACTCAAGTGAGTTTGTCATTAAAGCTAATAAGATACATTTGTGGTCATGTGAAATAATAGACGTGTTATAGTGGTTTTCAAAATTTATGGGACTCTTTTGAATTGCATTTCATGCCTTGGAGTCCTCCACCCCTGGGATGCTGTTAGGACAAGCCCTGGAGTGGGAGACCGTGTCTTTCTGACCACGCTTCCTTTCTTTCTCAAAGATGCCTCCTGGAACCATAGAGTTCATGGAAAGAGTTTGAAAACCATTGATCCATGGGCTACAAACTAGGACATGTAATTAAATAACATTGTAACATAATTATACTCCTGTTTACATTTTTAAATTCATCTAGGTTATATGTATGTTCTAATAAAATGGACGAAATTAATATTTGTTTGAGGAAGTAATGCTCTTTAAAACCAGTTACGCTTATTATCGATAAAGAAGTCCCTTGAGAGATCTTATATGTATATTATATTTTTTTAAACGACCATACTTTTTATGCTCTTTTAAAACCATAGCCCCAAGAGAGAGCCCAGAAAATAGAAGAGGAAAAAAGGCTAAAAGTACCCCCTAAACAACTTTTTATGTTCCTTCCTTCCAGATTTTGTCTCCAATGTATTTTTAATTGTTAGATTCACAGTTCGTATACAAACTTACATCATGATTTCGTTACCTAACATTATGTCATATCATAAGCACTTTTTAATGGTGCCACAATTTTCCTAACAGTCATTTTTTTTCATGTTCTTACTATGGAAATTTCCAAACACAAAAGTAGAGGAAATAATACACCTCTCACTCAACCACAGCAACTATCAACATTTCATAGCAATAATTCTTAATAACTCCATCGTTATTATGAATAGCACTGTGATCAACATCTTTAGGCACATAGTTAATATTTTAGATTATTTATTTAGGCTAAAATCCACAGGCAGAATTACTGAGCACAAGAAAGCGAACACTATATTTAATCATCTGTTTCTTTAAGTGTGTGTTTTTGTTTGGTTTTGTTCACTTAAAGGGTTGTAGAAGTGCCCTATGCGTATCAGTGCTGCACATTTGGAGTGTGTGAAAGTGTCTATAAAATTTCTAATCAGTGGAATAGAGGTGACAACAGCAGTGCAGATGACCTTCATAAGAAAGATGCTGGGATGTTTCAAGTTCAAGGTAAGACCTGCTATGTCACTGGGATGAAATTGTGTCTCAAGGGGTCTTGAAAAGTCATCAGACAGATCATCTGAACTCCAGACCCGCCCCCAAGTAATCATGCCAGCAAGCTGAGAATCAAACCCACTTTTTAAAGTCTCCCAGAGAAAGAGAAAGCTCCTTTAGGGTTCATTCTAAAACTTCATCTTTTCTGTAAGTGAATTTTTAATAGTTATATTCATAATTAAATCCCTTTTAGTATATACTGACCTCAGAGATAAATATTAATATTGATGATCAATATTCTCATAATTGTTTAAGAGGGCTTCATCCCTGTGAATAACTTTTTCAAACACGCATCTGAACTTTTTTCTCCCAAAGATAAAATCTGTTTTTATTCTTGCAGCCCAGGGGGAGTGGAGGCCATCGGCAATTTTAGATGCCTCCATATTTCAGCAGGAGGGCTTAAGAATCCACCTTCTTATCCAACTAATCCTAAAACATTTTCCCTCCTGCCCCTCACAGGGTTGTCTGTCAGGACAGTGAAATGAGATAATGTCTGTAAAGCACTTGGCTTTCCTTGAAGTAAGACCTGACTTAAAAACACAGCAGTGCACCTCAAACCACACCTGTGGTAATGAGGAGGTGCTCTGGGCAGCCCCACTCTGCTCTCCCTGCCAACCCTGCAAGTTTGCACAGAGTCTAAACAGACTGGCTTGTCTTCCTTTGGGTGTTAATGATTTGTTGATTCCCAAGCAAGTATGATTCAGACTGTCTGCACATTATCTTGACTTTTCTTCCTGTACACATATCTGATTAAGGAGCTGGTATTATGGCCTTTGGCCTTTTGGCTTTAGGCTACAGCATGTGTCCTACTCTTGTTCTTGATTTCATTTTTGTTCCTCCTGCCTCACCCACCCTAATTTCTACTGCATTTATTTATCACACACACCTCTCCCCCAAAAAATTCCAGTGTCTACTAAGTGTCAGGCACTGTTCTAGGCCCTAGAGGCTCACAATGAACAAGAGAA